ATTTACCAGCTCGCGCGTGCAATGCGCAGCTACTTACCCCCCAATCATCGGTGAACGAAACTGTGGCAGCTACAACCAGTGTACGACCAGTACGCGGTTATTACAGCTGATAATGATGATGATGATGATAGCTCCAATGACTTCCTGGCTGGTCGGATATCGGATGGTAACGAACATTGGCGATATATCCAGTCCTACCCAATGCATGAACCTCTGCCTGCTAAAAACCTAGCCAACATCCAAACACTGGATCTATGATAGAACCGTAGCTTTTCTGCAAGCCCGGCGGCAGATTACTCCTCGAAACGGATGGTGCTAAAAAGTGCTGTTGTTACACTTGATTCGTTCGACTGGTCCTAAGAAGCTTCTTGTCAGCAAAACCGCTAGGGACCAAACCAACTTCCAGATATCCGGCAAAAAAGAGTCTTCAAGCAGTCTACTAATTCCAATCCGGAATACCGAACTTCAACAAAAAGTTAGAGTGAATGTAGAGCCCCCTTCGTCATCGGAAGTATCCAAGTTTATTTCTATCCAGTCGGAATGGTGCTCCGAGTTTCCACGACCTTCCAGCTGGTCTGTCCAGGGACAGCGGTGAATTCCTCCGCCAGTGTCTCTAGACTGTTTACGTCTATCTGGGAGAAGGAGGCTATTCAGGATATTTTCGATGTCATGGCATGCGAAAACTTGACTCACGGGCGTCGAGGGGCATGTCGATGGAGTAGATGCTGCGTTGATCACATCTTCCCGCTTTGATAGGTGCTACAGCAACGACTTGAAATCTTAGGGGTCAAGGTAGCTCAGTGGTTAACCTGCATTACTGACCAGCATGTCTGTGGCTCAAGCCCGACATTTACATCTCGACCTTTCCTGTCCAGGCCTGAGCAACCTGGCAATATCCCAGCCCTCGTTATTTTTTCAGGTGGCATGTCAGCTAGGCACCGAAAGAGCGTTACAGCTGGACGATGTTCCTTAATTCCATGGTTGCGCTCGACTCAGTCTACTGGCTCGTTCTTTCAAACACGCCCAACAGTGTGTGCTCCACAAATTTGTGAGCATCATACGATGTTTGTGAGATTGCATGGGTGTTGTGCAAAAGCCTTACAAACACTAGCACTCCACTTTTGTTTACTTTCGCGATGGACGAAGTAATACTATGAACACTAGAAGGTGTTGACCATATACTTATCGCTTTTCAAAATGGATAAGAAGTGCAAAAATAACGGGAAAAGTCAACCAAAGCCGTCAAGTCCTGCGGAATATCAAAGTTCAGATGTGTATTCATCACTTGCGGCTTGTAGAGAGCACCGGGTCTTGAAGAATGCGCGTATATGATTGCGATGCGGGTTGTATTACTGTGTGGCTACGGGGTAGGGTTGTAGCTTGGATGTCGCGCTGAGGTGGTCAGTTAGGTATCTTTGGTGGATTGGAAGGTACTTCACTCAAGGCACGCATCCAGTATCGCCATATATTACGCATGCCAGGCTATTTCCGCTTTGTTTTCCTTCCTAACTTCAAGTGATGGAAACCCAGAGTTTAATAGAATATGACGTAGTAGAAGGGGGATGATGTTACGGAAAGTGTGGGTACTGTTGGTGCTATTAGCATTTCAGGACGGGGTCCACCTGACGTTCCCTGCGCTTGACTGGAGACACCAATTCAACCAAATTCAGTTTATTCGCTATAAACAGTATACCATAGGTACATTGCTTCCAGCTGATGCGGTTTTAATCGCCGGATATACCGCTGAGTATTGGAGGCGGTGCCGTGTTCAGTTAGTTCGGAACTGGGTAACCACGCTCTGAAGGTGATAACCTTGATGTTTAAGCACCACCGACTGTGCCATTTCTGCCAGTGAGTTGAGTCTCGGGGTCCCCATCGAGGAATGCCGTAGTTGCCAACCCTACTCAGTTTGATGCTTAGGGCTTTCATCCTTCGTTTCCAGGTCATACAGTGCCGCTTCGTCGCTTCCACTCAGCACAGGGATGGGACAAAAGAGCTCAGCGACACAGACAATACCCTGGAATGCGGAGTATACACTCCAGTGAGTGTAACCTATGAAGCGTGAGTAATTCATCAGCCGTTAGAGAGTTCCTAGAACAATCTGGCGTACCTCAGCATTACTATTCCGACCTTCCACCAGACCCATCCAATGCTTCGGAGACATCGATGGTCAAATAAAGATAACTTTTTTGTACGTCCTCTACGCATAGAGGTCACGTTTCTGACCCATAAATCAGTATGGATCACAACATAGCAGTGTAAACTCTGTCCTTGGCAAGTAAACTGACGTTACGTCGGGACAATAGGAGCCGGAGGTTGGCAAAAGCCCCCTGATCTTCTCCGATTCGAGAAGTAATCATCTACAACGAGTCAGCCGGAACCCATGCAACTGCCCAGGCAAACAAATTTATCTACCATGTCCATTGGCTTGTCTGCAAGCATGAATTTAGTGTTTGACCCCACCCAGTCTTGTAGTAGCGTTTTACCCTGCAGGTGTGCGGCATATTCATTTACTTAATTTAGAATGGCTTGTCTTTGTGGAGGATATGGTCTGCATACTCAATGTCTCTGAGGACGCGAGTCAGCCCCATGCAACTGCCCAGGCAAACAAATTTATCTACCATGTCCATTGGCTTGTCTGCAAGCATGAATTTAGTGTTTGACCCCACCCAGTCTTGTAGTAGCGTTTTACCCTGCAGGTGTGCGGCATATTCATTTACTTAATTTAGAATGGCTTGTCTTTGTGGAGGATATGGTCTGCATACTCAATGTCTCTGAGGACGTCCCAGGAGAAATTTAACTCCTGAGGCGTAGAAATTCCAAGCAGCACACCAATAACAAAGTTGAAGAGAGGCGAGAGAGCGTAGTCTCGTCTGGACATGGTGAGTTCAGGCAAAAGCTTGTATACTCGTATCTGCACACAGGATGTCGCATACAATGCCGTCATAAGGGATATAAATATGGGAGGCACACCTTTGATCGCCAGATGCCGCCACAAAAATAAGAATAGTTCAAGTGTGGTGGCTTCCAATCGACCCATATAAGCGTTTGTTTTGGAAGTCTGTACTGGCCGGGAACACGATGATGGCGCACAATTGAGGCATTCTCTTCCCATTACCCGTACGCTGATCATAGAATTCAAATCTACCACCTAACTGCTTCCTGCGGATTTAGTCGTCCAACTTGGGCATTCATATCACCCATCAGGATTACTATATCCGTCTTTCTTGCCGACCGAAGCAGTCGTGACATATCTTGATAAAACTCATCCTCCTCAGTCTCGGAACTGTAGTCTGTTGGGGCGTATGTTGATTCGCAACTAAACACAGTTTGCCGCATCGGTCTGTATTGATCTTACCTGAGCCAGACAACCACACAGGGCAGCCGTTCATCTATAATACCCTTTCATGCTTAGCTGCCATGCCATCCGAAGGAAGCACAAGAGCTGGGATACTGCCAGGTTGCTGATGCCTAGACAGGGGAAGCCGAGGTGGAGAGGTCGGGTTCGAACCAGGGACCCTCCGGTCAGTAAATTCGCGCCCTAATCGCTGGGCTGTCGTACACAGCGCATATACGACTGTTTACTAGGATCCAGTCAAGTAAGACACTTTCAACCATGGGGCTGAGTAGAATCCCACACTACAGTTGGCTCGAACCGTTGCCTCATGATTACGAGATCACCGAGGAGTTAATTTCGGAACATTTGAGCTCATCCTAAGTGGCTTGAGATGCGCGACCGAAGTGGAGTCCGGTATGCGTGTTTCGGAGACACAACATTCATCGACAGGGAAATCAAGGTTGCAGCAATGAATGCCTGTTGCCCAATTTGATCCAGAGGACTGTAATTAACGGTGCGACTTGTAGTAGATCTCTTGAAGTTAGTGACTTTTTAGTTTGTTTTTCTGGGCGATAGTTTAGACACGGAACAATGACTAGGAATGTGGTAGGTGGATCGGTCACACTGCATCGTTCGATGGGCGGAAAAGGTCGATGAGGGAAGAGCTGCAAGGACGAATGATACTTCTCGGTTACCCAAGCCGAAGAAGGTGGTTTTGAGCCTTTGGCTAAGAAAAAAATCGTTCCGCTGTAGTAGCTTTTTGGTGCCTAGCTGCCGTGCCACTCGAAGGAAGCATGAAGACTGCCAGGTTGCACAAGCCCAGATAAAATCGTTCAGCTGTATCACCCTTTCGGTGCCTAAGTGCCATGCCACCGGAAGGAAGCACCAGGGATGGGATACTCTCAGGTCACCCAAGCGTAGACAGAGGTCAAGAGGCAAAGGTCGAGTTTGAACCACAGACGTCCTAGTCAGTAAATTTGCGCCGCAACGGCTGAACCATCTCGCTCTCTTTTTGACTCAGCACTCTCATCCACAAGGCTGTGCGAGGATGTAGGGTTCTGTTCGGGGACCCTAGCCTTTGACTCTAAAGCCTGAGCCTCGGGGTAGTGGTAGCTAAGGTGGCCCTTCCTGGAGCCAGTGTCTCAATAGTCTGGCCCATTTGGCTACAGGGTGCCGACCTGGCCCGAGGATGCAGGGAGTAAGGCATTATGGTTTCACTCTTAATGCAGCTGCATACAACAGGTGCCTTTGGAACAGCACCGCTCTCTTAGGCTTTAAAAGTATTTCAGTTGTATTGAGTAATAACCTGGCGGTCACAACCAACCGTCGGACGATCGCATTGTGCGGTTTCTAGGGCTGACCTTTTCTAACTTATCCTTTCTCAGGGGAAGGCAGCATTACTGCTTATGTGATTGAGGGCATTCTGGTCACCTGGGATAAACGTTTTACTGCTTTCTTCCTCCTATTGCAGAGGACAATGCGGCTTTACCACCAAACCGCTCCGATTTCTTGCAGTGCGGGGACTCGCTGTTCTTCAGGTTCATCCCGGTTGGCGTTGCTGGCATGGTTGAACCTTTGGGAACTGAGTTCTGGTCAGTATAGCCTGCTGGACCACTGCAGCACAGAAACCCGACCACCACGACAAGATAACATCTCTACTTCGGAAGCGATGTGACGGCCAACTGGTATCGGTGGTGTTCATTCTGTCAGTTTGTATCTAGATCCTCTGAGTGAATTTCGGAAGCGTACGCACCGCTGATTTTTGTGGTAGTGGCATGGTTAACCTTTGGGAACTGAGTTCTGGTCAGTATAGCCTGCTGGACCACTGCAGCACAGAAACCCGACCACCACGACAAGATAACATCTCTACTTCGGAAGCGATGTGACGGCCAACTGGTATCGGTGGTGTTCATTCTGTCAGTTTGTATCTAGATCCTCTGAGTGAATTTCGGAAGCGTACGCACCGCTGATTTTTGTGGTAGGATGATCCCGGGTCCACCTCCCTGTCACTCTCAATTATAAGGACCTGTTCAAATAATTAGACTTAACGTTAACGAAGCATTGTTCTCTTTCTCTGGTGTTGTCAATAATAATGATGATGATGACGAAGAAGACATACGTGAGTGTATGAAGAGAGTATTCCAGCGTGATCTGAACGGCGGCCATGGAGAAGTATATGTGAACTATGCGGTTAGTTACTTTCCTTGTTAGCTGATCGGTGTCTGTACACCTGGAATCTACGGAAGGTTGATTAAACGACAGGTTGGGGGTTAAGAGGTTCCAGTAAAGGTGGGAGGTTTCAGTGGTCGCGCGTTCTTACTCAGCCGGTTCACTGAATGCAGTCCATAATGGTATGTGTCATAATGATGTTAGTATTTACGCTTCATGGTTTTATGTGGGATAGTGTACCAGCAGGGTACTCAGACAGGATTGGAGTTGGGTCCGTCATCCATAGCCTTTAACTTGAAGGTCTAGACGCGAGGTAGTGGTGGTTAGCGTAATAATTTCATACTTACCACACGTCTTCCAGCCCAAACATGTACGATCGATTTGCTGTTTTCTGGACTGTAGTTAATGGACCAACCTAGCACAGGGGTCGATTGTACGATTATCGGTCAATTTAGATAAACAGTTTACGGAAGTAGGAAAACCGTCGCACCACAATAAGGCCCAGTTTCCATGTCAGGTGGAGACGACCTAGAGACGGACAGTCAGTCACTTGAAAGTCTTTACCTATCAGTTCAGTTGTGTTGGTAACTGTCATTTGTTCGAATGCAAACCACTGGATAGGCCATTCCGATAATTAATAGCCCCGTCAGATATGACCTTGTCACGCAGTTATTGGCGTCCTGCACCAAAGTTGTTGCGTTCAGTGAGTATCTACCCAAGCCCAATAGATCTAATTGAGCTGCTTAACAAGTTAACTGCTTCGGCAACCGTATCTAGTGCGTAGTTGTCACTGTCTTGTTCTTCCGCTCCTTGGTGAACAAAAATGTAGCAGCTGAAACAACACGTTTTATTGGTGAATAGCTAACTGAATGACAATTTTGGGTGATCTGTTAGCTGCTCTTCAAGAGACCACCTAAAATCGGGTTGTTCTGACGTGTTCTCTCGCAAGTTTTTTGTTTCCTTGGGACTGCCTTTCCTGCAAAAGCAGGTACACAAACTGTCTGTAATTGTCGGTAGCACGGTGTAACTGGTTTTACCATATCTTAGGGCGAACTTCAGGAGGCCGGTATGACTGCCCGCGAAATGTAATTCTTCCCAAGAAAAGGGGTTTCGACCTATCCAAAGGGTAGGTTTTTTCGTGAGTTATTTGGTTGGGTTTGAAGTTTCAGAATCTCCCAGATATGATCTCCCAGATATACGCTGGTCTTTGCTTCCTACTTTTTCTTAATATCTGCACTCAGAGCGTTTACCCAAAGCAAACCGCATAGGCTACTTAGCAGTATAAAAGGCGCTTGTTGTTGTCACCTTAGGTTTTCTACCTCTTTTGATTTTGTTTTTCAAAGCATTCATATTGGTGCAGTTATTTTTGTGAATTGAATGTTGAATTGTGACCAAAAACCATTGGAAGTTCGCTTGACTGTCCAGGATAATCTAGAACTGATTGCCACCCGAGAATCAGCTTGCGGCTTATGTTTACTTTATGCCATATTGCTGATATTTTGCAGTACCAGCTTCACTCAGCCGTCCGATAACAGCGTCGTATGCGAGCTTCATCCGCACAGTGGTGGGAGAGACGCGACTGGAATATAGTAGGCTTGAAAATGTTTTCGAACATATAGCAATTGTTGTCTTCATAGCCTAGCAGCAGTCAGCTGACTGTATTGACGCGATGCGCGTCATCCTTAAGCTTTTTTGTCCTTTGAGCTTTTGTTTGGTGTGGTTCACCAGAAATGTTCGGTCAATCCCACCGATACCGCTTTACTCTGGCACTGTCCGAAGGATGTTTGGATTTTTCCACCTCTTTACTACAGCGTCCTTTCCTCATTGTTTAGTGGATAGAAACCAACGATACGTACTAGTGCACTGTCAACTGGTAATTGTACGTCCTCTACTATACAGGATGTAGTTCATTGGAACAGCGTATACAGTTTCCACGGGAGTAGGCAATAACATGATTGTTAATTTCTGGGTCAACGGGCTGCTACCGGAGCTCCGTCACTGTATGGATCACGGAACCAGTCACACATCATTATGGGCCTACCGGGGCACACCCCAGCTTTTCGTTCCCTTCTATTAACTTTTGCGTAACTCGATATAAGCAATTTAAGTCTAAACATAGCTCTCTGGTTCGGGAGATTCGGTATACCTGCCAGAAGCAAGAAGCTAGGCGTATATCTGAAGATAGCAAGCTGCTAAGTGATCTCACTTGCATGATTTGCTTTCGTCGCTTGATTAATCGACAATTGTAGCAACGCCTCCACGGCATCGGTTTCATGTTTTGAATGTGGTCGAACACTGCATGCGTGCGGATTTTCTCCAGCCGATATCAATGTATTCTGCATCGCACTGTTCGGCAAGCTGGCATGACCCTTGTGATAGTGCAAATCCTTCATGTTATTTAAAGTTAGGTACCGCGATTGTCGTGGCCTTCATAAGGTTCATCCTTCTTTTTTCAGCTGTGGCACATCTGGAAGGGTCAACGGGATCACAGCTTTACTAATTAAACATGTTTCAAAAGGCCAACTAAAACATTATCCAGGGACTGGGTTATCGTTAGGCTCGTCCCTCTAGTGGTAGGCAGTCATGGTAAACTACTACGAAGGGCCTGCTCTCGATGTTTTTTTTTCCAGTGTTTTTCCACGACTGAAGCTCATACAGAACTGACAATACGGTCTCTGTCGGCAAACACAAAGACTCTTCTAGTTGACATAGTGACTTCCCTGGCAGTCCTAAAAGGAATGTGCTCCTATATTGTATTCCTGGGTTACGAATTCGTCACTGTGCAACGAAAGGAAAAATAGTAAGGACAGTATGGGGGTCCCAACATGCATTTTACTGTTGAGTTTTGCGTGACGCATTCCGGTGACAGTGAGCCAAGATAGCAGTCCCTAGTCGTGCACTGCAAAGACCCGTAAACCAAACGATTGATCAGTCTATCACTTTCTAGGCCATGAAAGGTAGTTTCAGAAATGTAGACTTCTATCATCAGTTGGGGCTGTCAGCCGATTCCAAAGGTTTCGACAGAACCATCTCATGTTGCCATCGGATTTTGTCTTCTCGGAAGTCCGAACACTAGATATTTCGAAGGCACAAGTGCGTGTTTACCCAATCCATATTTTAGAGAGACTATGCCGGAACCACACTCGTACTTTTACAGCACTCGTCGACCAGTTTCATCCAGAATCACCGATTTTTCACCCAATCTAATGAAGAACTCAGTGGGTACCTCCGAACGTACAAGTAGACCTTTCGGAATAGTGCAACAAGTTTCGGTTAACCGGACTGATGAGGTGGCTCTATTGAATCGATTCGAAAATAGCATTAGGAGCTTGTTCATATTAGATCGGTGAACGGATTTCGAATTTCGAGACTAACGCCATATGCAGATAGGGTTTCTGGTGAAGGATCCGAAGCCAACTTCGGTTTGTGACGCTGACGGCAACGAGGTATTTGCAGTCATTGGACTCCAACAAACTACTAATGTGACGGACCGGCTAATCCACCTTCGTATACCTTACCTTGGGAACTGCTGATCCTCAAAAGTGCACCCCTAGGGTATTTAACTTCCAGCCACATGACCACTGCGCCATGAGCAACGTAGCAGTTGCTCTCCCTGGCTAACAGACAAGGATAAGCGTTAAATTTATGGGCCCCACTTAGTGTATGGAAAAAGGAATATTCAGAGATCGACCCTCGAAATAAGCTCCATGTGTACAGTGGGCTGTCCGGTGTGTACTACATACGCCTGGGAGACCTGGCCTACTCCAGCTGTCCATCTTCAAAGATCGTTTGGCTACCGGCGTGTAAGGCGAATACTCAAAGTGCATTGAAACAACGGGGCACCAAATGATATTAGGGATCGCCTCTACAAACGCACATTGAGCGGATGGGACAAGCCCTCCGCAAGCTAGATTCTGAGCAGTCCAAGCTCTCCCTGTTCGCATCCTCTGCTCAGAGGAGCAATGTCGCACCTGAGGACGTCCGGCTCCACATCTAAGACCGACGTTGAACTACTGGGTTTGCATGTGGTTCATGGCATCAGGAAACGGAAGAGGCAGTACTGCTATTTGAACCCTGCTATTGAGTGTGACTCGCGGACAGCAGTTATTTGGGATGTTCTTAGAGCCGATTCGTCGTTCGCAGGAAAACGTCGCCGCAAAACAGTAGTTTAGTAAAGAAGTACTGGCCTACTTGCATCGGTTTTTGCACCTAAACTTGGACCAAGCAAAATTTGACAACCACAAGGACACTGACTTTCGACGCTGCTACTCTAACCCGCACTCCGGTTGATGGAAACGGCGTGCATCAGAAGAGAGACCATCGGGTATGGAAACATTACAATTTTCAAAGACAGCACATAGGAAGCGGTATTATTGCGGAAATACATTTTCATTTGGTCGATTTTTGCACCAGAAGTAACGCGAAGAAAGTTATGTACATGAGGCAGCGAAGCATCAGTGTTGAACCCTGATGTCATGCTGTCGATGATGATGTACATAAAGTATGTAGAAAAACGCTGTGCCTTTCACGTCCATATGTCCTCTATGTACCTTCCATCTTGTCGCATCTTCTCCACGTAGTCCCTACCACTTAACAAAGCTGGTTCAGTAGGACAGAGATCAGAGAATTTTTCCGTCAACGCCTTCGTTAGTATAGTGGCGAAGGCTTCACGAACCGCCGGCGCCATAGCACGGGCTTCACCACAAACCATAATTCGGGCTTTTCGGTGTAAAATCCAATTGGCCAACTCAGTCTGATGTCCGGTCAACGGGGATCCATCCACCGAGGGACAAATACATTCTTGTACATACCGAGCACTGGTGTGCAAACAGTAAGGTGCGGCGGAATCAGAGGCCTCCACGTGTCGAGAAAAGCATAGGCACCAACGGTGTAAGACCTTGTCACGAACAGAGCTTGTAAGTTCTTCGAGAAACGCGAGGCTCTTTGGGGAGCGGCAACCGAAGATAAGCCATAAAGGTGATTCACCAGATGTACGCTGGAAAAGAGAATACGATTTGACAGCTTAGAGGGTTACAAAAACTGATGGATTTACGCGGTGGTTGATAGAATAAACAGAGTCGGTGCTAAATAAATTGAAGATAACTATTGAGGTGATTTTCGCTCAAAAGATTCCGCTCTTTAAAGACAGTACTAGGCATACAGTGTGTGAGCGTGCCACTGAGCACGTGTATATAATTGTCACGTGTTCGGTCCCTACTAGTAACAGTTATCACTACTGCTGTGTCTAAACAAACACCAAGTACGTAAGGTATGCAACGGAGGAATGCGCACTGCGGCTTCCAGCAGTGGAGGTATAAAAAATATGCCTGAAGTAACTCGTCATCAACTGCGCGCAAGTATTACTGGCGACAGAATGAAGCCAAAGCATTGTCTCCATAACGTAAGCCACGAGATAAAGGGAGTCATCTGAGACGTAAGGAACAAACTTCTAGATAGGCTGAACATGGACATAGACAAGGGAAAAGTGCCAAAGATGAACTAGGAACACAGTGGTCTAAAGTAGCGACAACGAGCTTCTTCGGATCCTGTGTACTGGTCGTACTGATCTAAAGAGCTAAAAGCTTCCTTTTTGTGTTCAAGTAAAAACTGCAAATAAATGGGCCAATGTGATACACGGCCACATAATAGTTGAGTTATTCCAAATTCAGATGGTAATTGAAGAGTCTAACCAATCAATGAAGTAAAGGAAGCCCAATTGAGTGGAAAAGTTATCTTCCATCAATATGTATTTTTAGCGAGTCCTCAAATGAGTAAAGGAATGAAGTCAGGATGGAGGTGATTCTGAGAGCAAGGTGTTAAACCACAGTGTTTGCCAACAGTACACTGATAGTGATTCTGACAAATTATTCACAAACCGAGAAAAAAACATTGAAGAAAGATCTAGTGCCCATTCAGTAGACGGGCATGTCTTCTCCTTGGAGATCAACCAAAAGCACGACTCGCTGCGAGCATACCCGATGTTTGGGACATCAAACAGTTTGCGGTATTTCGTAGTAAAAACAGAATTAGACGGGATAACCACACAACATGCGTAGAGTCCACTAGTCGATAGGCAGTGTGATGTACTGATTTAGGTAAATGGCGGCATGCAACAATTATAACAAAACTTACAGCATGCGAAGTGATTGCACACTAAACAGCATTGGTGAATGGATCATCGACTGTAACGGAGACATTCCAATACTCAGTTACACTTAAAAATTGTTCCCTACACGACCTGATGGCACTGTGTAACAGCCGCCAAACTGAGATGTGTCCCTCGGGCATGAAGTTGCCTTCTAATACGATCTAATTCACCCTATTTTTCATGAGGGGGAACATCNACACGACCTGTGGCACTGTGTAACAGCCGCCAAACTGAGATGTGTCCCTCGGGCATGAAGTTGCCTTCTAATACGATCTAATTCACCCTATTTTTCATGAGGGGGAACATCAGGTGACAATACAGCTGTTCACACAGAACTCCACCGAATCCGGCGCAACGTACGTACAGGATTACTTTGCTACCATACAATTATACCCAATAAGACTGCAAGGAACTTCAGAGTCTACGTACCGCAGCTTCGCCAAGACTGCGAAGTTTTCTTATGAAGCTGATGAATGGTGCCAGGCCAGTACCCGCTGCAATCATTATGACTGGTTGTTCAGGATCAGCTGGTAGGCGAAATCCATTCAAGTTGCACCGCAGGTACAGCTGAATCGAAGGACCAGCATTCGACGACCATATCCGTTCCAGCCACCCCGTACATACGCCGTGTGTCCGATGCGGGTACCGTGAGATTCCACCATTGGCCTCACAACGTTCAACACCAAAGTCTACTCGCGTGAAAATGAACTGTAGCTGTTGATTTTCTGTTTCTCGTCCAGTACGCGCCGTACCTTCATGTAGACTAATAAGCGTATATGGACGGGGCTGTAGTCGAGGCAGAACTTCGAGCAAACGAACCAGAGTTAAGCGACAGGCCGGAAATAGATGCAACAGGTCAGGTAAGGTCATATTCTGAAGACGGACGTACCTAAAGAATCGAACAACTTGCCGGTTAATCAGCTTCTCTCGTGAACATATACACTGAACAAAATCTTCTGAAATTCAGCTGCACTCTTTTTCACCCGGAAGAAAATTGTGGAAGTCGCCCCACAGGTGATCTATGTATGCTACCAGAATTAAGGTCCCCAAGCAAGCCACGTGAGAAATAAAAAAGGCATCTCCTATATCCAGGATCAAACATCGTAGTTGTGTTCTACAAATATGCAACACTCCAAGGTTGAGTTTAAAGAGGATTCAAAAGGAGATGCAAAGCAAACGTGATGATAATACACACTGATCGAGAAGTCATCCAACAGGTGCGCAGGGAAGAAAGCTGCTTAAACACAATATGTTCTACTGCACCGAAATTTAAACTATCATCTGAAGCGGTCAAAAATTTGAATACCAGTCCAAAACGATATGAAAAGCGGCTCTCCGTTGTGCGTACGATCCATGCAACTAGCTGTGTGAAAACCAGTAAGGTGTGTACGGTCGTTGTTAGTTGGGCAAAAACAACTAACCGGTTAGAGATGGGCTCCTACGGGAAAGGTTCTCGCTGAACGTACCGTATATAACCATGTGTATTTTGAACAAAACAAAAGTCGCCATGAGGGTGACACAACAGAACATCCCTACACATCTACACTCTCGAACAGAGGGACCGGGATAAAGCGGAAGATACAAACCTTCTCAGTAACAAAGGTGTGAATTGGCTTTTTACCAAAGAGACTATACGGAGTCTACCACCTCATGAAACATTTCAATGGATCGTTTCAGAAGAGCTTGATAAACAATCGGTAGTTTTTTTCAAATTGATTCCAATGGATCCTTTTAACTCTTTGAATGCGCCTATCCGACTAGAAAATGTCTAGCCTTTTTGAGGAAGGAAACGACAAAGAAACAACATAAGTCACAACTTATTCTGCCAGTCACATCGAAGTTGTTCATCTCAAAAGACATGTGCTAACTAACCGCATTGATGTAGGGAAATAACGTGGCAAAAACGGCACAGAGCGTGACTTTGACGCACAATCCGGATGTTTGTATCACGAGCTTCAGTTCAAAGCTTTGGTTTTTGGTATCCCTAAGGTCGCTACGCGACTTGAATGAAGTGCGACAGATGAAAAACTAGTCACAAATCGCACTTGGAGGGGCAGTCAAAGTCATTTGTTACTTTAGAACATCCCGTTTGGATTCTGCGTTTTATTCCTTAGGCTATCTGGAACAGGACACGACTTTCTGTCACAACCTGCGTTGTATCCAATCACTAACGGCCAGTGTTCATTTGGATTGCACTCAGGTGGATAAGCTTGAATGAGACAGAAACTGTGTGCTCACTTAACTTTGCACGCGCATGAAGTCAAGGAATACCGAAGGTTGTTGTATCAGGTAGAATGAATAAAAAGAGTTGCTATTCATAGTTGTTACATTAGGCATATCTAACTTACTTGTCAAAAAGCTCGGTGTACTCACGACTGCAAAGCTCGCGCAAGCGAGTAGCTTGTTGTGAATCCGTAGCGCAGAATTCGGCGCACAAGCGGATGATACGACGTGAAACAGGAATATGGAGTTCACAACAGTGAGTTAGGAGCAGGCGGGCTGTGGTGGGGATGCCTGGTAGAAGCCAAGCTGGGATAGGTTTGTTGAGCGTTGGCTGTAGAATAAAGGGCTGGTCTTCACTGGTTAATGGGTCCAGGTCAACACGCTTCAATAGCCAATCAACATCAACAGACGAATTTGAGCACAACAACGCCACGCTGTCTCCTGGTTCACAGTGAATCTTTTGATCGTTCAAGACAACGGTAGCTCTAAACAGATGGAAAACCAAACAAATGGTTAGAACTAGTCCAGTGATGTCTATATATTTTTGGTTTTAGGAAAACTAGAATTTTCATACCATTTGCGTTCTGCGTCGGTTCGATGAGAAGTATTCGTCTCAACCTAACGCATCGTCACCCGAAATTGTAGTATCACTGGGGTTTTGTATATTTTCGATCCAAGGGAATTCAAACTTCGGTCGAGATCCCTTAATTCCCCTTGTGCCAAAGTGATAACCTAACCCATAAAAGCACAATCGTTGAACTACTGAGTACCAGAAACAGTGCTTTAGACATACTTGAAGACCAAAAGAAGGACGTCTCAATAAATGACGGTCTGAACTGGTGCACATTCTTCCATTATATTCTAGTAGCATAAAATATCGACTTCAGTTTTCAGCACATAAACATGCAGCTCTCCTGTGCGGTTTTTATGAGACAAACTTTACACGCATTATCAATGATAAAAAAAAACACAAACGACCATATCGTTATCAGTCTGTATGCTTGATGCGCCTGCATGCTACAGTGTACAATCATACGAATCACACACTTTTTGCAAAAATATTCCGTTGCTGCCGTACGCAACGCACTAAAAGCAGGTGATGACCTTACTTGGCCGGCCAGCTAACGGCCAATGACAACCCTGAAAAATCAACGAGAAGAATTTGCGCATATAATAACTCCAGCTGACAGTACACGAATTATAACTTTTTGAGTATTCAAGAACACTATGATAAGACCATCAAAAAGTAGGTGGAATACGCCAGTACAAGGTCTCGCACAATCACTGAAAGAATTTTTAGCCAGGCGCTCCGATGTTAACAAGTCACAGCGATATATACAGTACGCCAAGGAAAATTCTTCAGATTACCAGGCACCGATGGTGGTCCCCTTGGAGAAATCAGACGATCTAATGCTATTGTGAAGTGATCCGAGAAGTCCGCAACAAATTGGGTTTTCAGTCAGAGGCTGAACGCTCTTTGGGCGCCCTAACTTGACAACGAGTCGCATGCAGACTCCCAGTTAGACACTGAGATTCCTCTTAGGTCATCTAAAGAACTTTATCAAGAGCTTTTAGGAAAAACGTTGAAGTCCCGAATCTGAATAAAAACGTTCCATAAAATGCAAGAGCGTAAGTCTGTGTTCATTGTGTCAGATTAGCCAAGGGACTTACTATAAGTGGTCAGACGTCAACTGAGTGAGAAGCTTGTCATTCAGAGTTCCCGTGGCACTAACCTCTCAGCACAAAAATTCATCATTAATCTCTCCAGAGTGGTCTGCTATGCTTTTCCACTTTAGGATGGTAATCCTACCTTCTTGGGAAGACAACAAGATCAGGAAGCAACTGTCTATCCCACTGCTCTGAGCACTTAGTCTGATTTCAGTAGATTTGCCACACATTGGGATTGATTTCAACGGTTACAGCTCGTAATTCTGTGCCAGAGAACCGGGTTGGTTTGAATCAAGCTCCTGAGCACATTCCCAAACGTAGAATGAAACATCCCGTTGGTCGCAATCTATTGTGGCCTCCCTTAACAAACTGTTTGAACTTATGCTTGATTTTAGAAACTATCCGCGCGCACAAGGGCTGAAGCCATCCACATTCATATATCAACAGGATAGTCCTAGAACAAACTAACACAGGAGAACAGATATATTTATCTTTGCTTGCACTGAATTACTGCACACGGGCTCCTCAACCGTAAATTGTCATTAGGGCTTGACGGTCGCTGTTAAGTGATTCATGGCCGAACCTGTTACAGTACAAGATTCGCACATAACAGCTACAACCTCGGTCAACCATGGCTAGCCCATTTTTCAGACCAAATTTAATACGTGATTTGATTGCTTCATTTCGTTTTCTGATCCAGAAAGACAATTGTCTACAAGTGGCTTCTAATGGGCCCTGGTTTCGTTCAGCGCTAGAAAGAAAGATGGCAACCTAAAAAGAAGGTCCCCATATTAATGGATGCATCAACGTAACGGATCTGCAGATGTAACTTGTTCGGATCTGATCCATGTTACAGTACAGTGCTACTTGTAGGTCAACAAAGAATAAGGGAGGTGTTCAAGAGTGAATTGTTCCCAAATGAAGAGGCTCTTCTGTCGTTTAGTGACCATTCAATAAACAGCGAAAAGTAATCGGGTTAAGCAGACTAAACCATCTCACTTCTACATTGCGTACAACGGCAGTCAGTCACGGAAAACCTTGGTTAATTAGACAAGTCAGATAAGACAGAAAGATCGCCTCCAAGCTCCAAGGTCACGAACACGACGCACTGATGTGATCGATGAGTAGGTTCATCTGGGATAATACATTGAAAAAGCAGCAAAATGCCAGAAGTGTTTAATTATCTAAAAACATATCTTAAGAATTCTCCCACAAATGAAGGCGTCCCACTGAACCTGACAAGGGGCGTTAAAAACGGCATCAGGCAGTACGGCATCTTACTGAGCCGCTGCTGTCTTAACGATACAGTGTAGCACCTTCAAAAAATTGTTAAAACGGGTCACCGGATGAACACCAACCCTGCTCCAAGCAAGTGCTTCTTGGCCAGCTATATCAAGACCTGTTTTCGGGGTCCGCAGGATACTGGGTTGAAGAAGCTCAAAACAATCAAAATGTAGAAGGAATACATGTGAAAACCACCATCACTACTGTAGTTAGCAAAGTGTCTCACTAGAGACAACTGCATTACGAGATCTAACTATAAGCAAGAAGTCATAAAGCAGAATAGCGTTCAGCTGTAGCACCCTTCCGGTGCCTAGCTGCCATGCTACCCGAAGGAAGCCCGAGGGCTGGGATACTGCCAGGTTTGCCCAAGCCAGACAAGGGAAGTCGAGTGACGGAGGTTGGATTCGAACCACGGACCTTCCGGTCAGTAAATTCGCGCTCTAACCACTTGGGCCATCTCGCCCAATGACGCAGGTCACATAAGAGGAACGTGGTGGTCAAAAGTGGCGTGCCATTTACACCGCTCAAAGAACCGGATAATGCCGAAAAACAATGCATTTTATTGATCTGTTGTGTAATTTTTTAAAATGTCATGAAAACGCGTCATCACTTGGGGAAACATCTTCTGAGCCCGGTTGGGTGTGTGCCTCCTCTCAATTAGCTATGGGGAGGGGGATGCCGTGGCCATAGGATAATAAAAAATAAAAGATAAATATCCGATAACAATACTGCAATGTAAGTCAAAAACCCGGCCGAGGCATGAAGACGCAAAGTCGGCACTGCGCTGTTACGACATCAACAAACGACCCCCACCCACTAATAGGGTATGAGATACAAACTCAGCTTGCCGTAGAATTATCGCTCTCCCAGTCACTGCCGCCAAAAGGTAATACAGATACATTTTAGCTATCTACAACTGGTAGACAACAACTGGAGATAAGGGAGCGATAAGGAAAACCAAGCATGACGTATAGACAGATAAAATAGTGATAATCCGCCCCAAGAGGCGAAAACCACCAGCCATGGACAAACTCTCCGCAGCTTTCGCAAATAGTTTTATCCACAGTTAACGCCCATTTCGGTGCAGAATTACACATTAATTGATCAACCAATAAAACAGCCAACATATACAAACCCAAGATGCTCAGTTTTAGGTTACCAATCAACTGGACTGAAGTCGCCTGGTAACATTTGGTTTTTAAACTCGGACACTTACTGATAGACAACTTTTGACTCTTCAGCAGTAATCGGTTGAAGTGCACGAAGGGTTCCATCCAAAAGCTCCCCAGATGCTGCAGGAAATAAACTGGTGGAAGACGGCTTGAAATTAGGTGTGAATACAAAATTCCCACCTTCACAGGGCTTGATCGAGAAAGGACACACAGGTAGATTAGGCAACGTTAGTGTTTTCCAAACTTCATTTCTTCCAACAAAATCCGAGTCTCCCAGGAGCACAAGAGAACCAGCGGGATGAACTTCAGCTTTTTCTGATGGGTGCTGTGCGCTGATCGACAAGGCTGATGTGGCTGAAATGAGTGCGTCACTCATAGTGACCTACGGCTCCGGCGCAAGGGCTAAAATCATAAGCAAGAGAAAAGAATAATGATAACGCCTGGTTGGTGAACTTTAACGAACCCAAGTCTTTTGCCGCAATTCTTAGTCCAAATTTCATTAAACATACGTGCGAATCATGCACGGATGAACGAGTCCATATCCAGGGACTTTCCACAAGACAAAAAAAATAGTCAAAGGATCCGGACTATTCAAGGAAGCAGAACAAAGGGACCTAAGAAGAGAGAGCTCACCATCGTGTAGACGCTGCATACAAGGTCGGTCAGCTGTTGCACCCTTTCAGTGCCTAAATGCCATGCCGGGACTCCACTCCGAAAAACTGAGGTATACCTCATCCACAACAGTGCACACAAAAGGTCAATATTGAATCAAAGAAACTGAATGGGAAGCAATGACACTTAACATCTGCCCGCTGAACAGGTCTTTGAGCAGCAGAGCCATCCGGATCGCACCCGTTGTACACTGTGAATATCACAGAAATGGAGACATGTCAGTGCCACAGCGGCTGATAGCTCAGAAAAATTACGACTCCGTCGATAGCAGGAGCTAACTTCAGCACTACTAGTTTTTGTCCAAACGCTACTGAAGGATCTGCAAATCACACAGCGTCTGCTAACAAAGGTGCGTTCGCTGCTGTCAGTAGCCAACGTTTCCATCACTAATGGAGAAGTGACCAGTTTAAATCCGCAGCTGATGCACTGTCGAAGGGAACCATAACTGGGAGATCTCGGTTATTCTGGAATTGAGTACCGCGTAAAAACAGCTTACTGACAGCAAACAGCTGACGCACTCCACCGCTAATATCAGTGCCTACCGATTCCAATCTAACTCGACCAACCCATTGAGAATCAGCTGTCATAAGTCTGCCCACCAGTAGAGTAAAAACCCGCAACAACGACAACCATACCTGAAATTCGAGCCCAAAGGGACCGGATACCCAAAGAGCCATGTAGACATACGTTGGTAGCGACTGTTCATCATCATCAGCTGTAGGAACCGCGCACTTGTCGTACAGTGGTTAGAGTTGCTACAGTTCAATTCACCGATGATTTAAGGAAAAAAGCAAATCGTACAGCCGTAGAACCCATTCGGTGCCTAACTGCTATGCCAACGGAAGGAGGCACAAGGGCTGCGGTACTGCCAGGCTGCCCAAGCCTAGACAGGAGTAGCCGAGATGCTGAGGTCAGGTTCGAACCACGGACCTTCCGGTCCGTAAGCTGGAGCCTTAGCCACTGAGCTACCTCGATGGTTTGTGGACATGTGGTGGGTAGTTGCGCATTGGGGTTGCTAGTTGATACAACTGATGCGTAAGTATAGGGTTCTCAGTGGAATTTTAACTGGACAGATCGAAGGTGCATTGAAGGAAATAACTTGCATGCATGAGCGCCACTGAGGGTGTAACTGGGTCACGTCTGACAATGTCTCTAACCATTGATGTGTCCCGTCTCGGAGCCTCCGTCCAGGGAGATGGCAACGACTAGCTCGAGAGAGCGCAGTGGTTGAGGCGCCAGCTTATAAACCGGAAGGTCCACGGTTCGAACCGAAATTCAGCAACGCGATTGCTCCTCTCTAGGCTTGGGTAACCTGGCAGTATCCCAGACCTTTCGTTTGCAGGGCAGCTAGGTACCGAAAGAGTGCTAGAGCTGAAAGATTCTTTCTAACCACCAGAGCAGCCGAGTTTGTTGGTAATGGCTTCTATACTTCGTTACCAAGTAATTGTTGGACCTTCTGTGGCTCGTTTCCACCTTTCAAGGGGTCGTGCCAAAAGAGACCTTTGAGAAAGCCGGTGGACTAACATACGGAGCACGTAGCCAAGTCAGTGTGATTACTTCATCTATCGAGGGCGAATTATTTCTTCTGAAAACCATTAGTCGAACTTCAGCATTAGTGATCCCGTATTCCCACCAGACTCGGGTCATGATCCAAAGACATTTACGGTCAAACACTGAAAGTATTTTGACGTCCTCAGCGCGCAACGGCCAGGTTTCTGAACCGAAAAATAACATGCAGCGCACCGCGCACCATTGTAAACTCGACCCTTGACGGATAATCCGATGTAAAGCCTATGCCACAGGTAGTGTAGCTCTGGCGTTCCCAATCCGGACGGAAATACCATTTTTGGTGAGACCACTGGAGTTGATACAGCTGCCCAGGTACACAAATTTGTGTACTGCCTCAGTGGACTTATCCGCGTGTATGAGGTTAGGGTTCGAACCAACTCAGTCTTGCAGCAGCACTTTACACTTTGCAGGTGTGAAGCGCATGCCAGGCCATGAGGCAGAATTACGTAGATTGTTTATTACTTTATGCATTACCACGGTGTCCGACCCATGAAGAGCTATGTCATCGACATACTCAAGATCTGTGAGACAGTGGCCTAAAAGCACTTCGACGCCACTGGCATGAGAGGCTGGTAGTGAGTCCCCTACAACTGTATCAACGAGGAAGTTGGAGGCGAAAGGTGAAAGAGGATAGCATTGCCTGACACCATTTGATGTGGTGAACGCAGGCAATAGCTTACCGTAGACCTTCACGAGTCCGCGGGAGTTGACGTACAGCAGCTTAGGAAGGGTCAGGAATTTATGCAGGACACCTTTGCTCCGCAGATACTGTTGTAGTGCCTGACGGTCATCAGAGTAGAGGACAGATTTTAAGTCAAGAAAGACAACCGTTGTTGGGTGCTGGAAACAATGTTGCTGTTCCAGAACCTGCCGGAGGGGGGTGAACATGTGATCGACGCATCCTTTTGCAGGACGGAACTCACCTTGGTTTTCAAGGATATATATGTACTCAGTCAACTCTCGATGACACAGCTACCAAGCTGATGCCATCGTGGTTTTCACGGCGTCCGCGTACCCTTTTTGAGGGCAGCAATACCCGTTGACAGGCCCCATTCTGTGGACACTTCCTCTCCACCTCACATCGCACCGATAAGCCTTGTTAAATGGGTCACCAGGGATTCTCCGTCCTTTTTTTTTAACACGGCTGGATACAAACCATCATGTCATGGAACCTTCTCAAGTTTCAGTACGAATATTTTGTACATAATGTATTCCGACAGGTAACTAAGGTTTATATTTCATTCGCCTGTATGCGTCATCTCCAGAGGCTGTATTGCACGTGGCCAGCTGAACAGTTCTTCGAAGTGCTTGGCCCATCATTCCAGCTGACGTTTTTGCTAGCGTATTAATGAGTCACCTGTTCCACTTGTTGTTGCTTTCTTAGGGCCAGTCGACGGTATCGGTTGATATGGGGCACGGATGTTTACGGTAGCAAAAGCGCTCTCCACCACCTGTGCTTTCGATGTCTAGCAGAGCTCTCGGTCTTTCCTTAGGCTCTTCACTATTTGGCGTTTGAGGACTTTGTGTGCATCGTCTTAATTGTTTCCTGGCATCAATCAGAACTAGCAACCTCGACGGTATCTAATGGTCATTTGGTCACATCGAAGAATTCGGACAGATAGCGCTGGACGCCGCTAGCGTAGCCCCATTCACATTTTCCATGCTTCATCCACGAGCTCGCTACCACTGCAGTATTGGTTTACTGTAGAGTTGTTGCGCGAGCTCAACAACCGCTGAGCTATGGTAGTTCTTCGAATATGACACCGTTTTTATTTCGAGAGACAATGAACCAGACGGAGCTGGACAACCGGACGGCGCAAAGACAACTGTTCACTGGGAAACAATCCAGCAAAGCGCGTTCAGCTCTGGGGCTGGGCACAACTCCCACGCCATATATTTCAAGAATGATTGCTCCCGGAGCATCAGAAACACCGAGGGAGAAATGCGAAACGGCTGTGTTTATCCGTGTAGTTTTGAGATGCGTAACCACGATGGTCTTGTATAAGTGTTTCAGGGACACAGCATACATCAGTTTTAAGGGGGTAGAAGGTCTCAGCCACGATTATCTGTTCACCAATCTGACAAGGTATGGACGTTAAAAGCTCCTATGTGGAAAAGATCTCGTGGACTTAACAAGGTGCCATTTTATTCACCGGTAATAGTCAGCGGGGTTCATAAGCTCCATCGGTCAGATAGCTGGCAGCCAAATGACCCAGCAGAGTTTGCTTGTGTGGTGGGAAGGGGTTGGGGGTGGACAAAGACACTTGCCGGGAGCCCAAGCCGAGGAAGGTTTAGCTGAGGCACTCCACCCTGAGCCATTGACTTGAAAGTCTGACCTGAGGCAGCAGGCAATCGTTTTTTTTTTTGGGGGGGGGGTGGGGTGTTCAGGGGAGATGAGACCAAAGACGGACCTGCTCGGCTGTAGGAAGTTGGCCTAACCAGGAGGTGCAGAAAGTAAGGCATTACTATTTCAGTCCTGCGTACCGCAGGTGTCTTTAGGGAAGCAACAGACTCTGGTTTTACAAGTACTTTGACCGTGACGGATGCAACCGTCAAGCGTTGGGCGATCGGAGTGTGCGTTTTTAGGGCCGATCTTTTTTATCCTGTGCTTCATTTGAGGAAGGCAGCATCGCTGCCTCGATGAATATGAACATGCTGCTCGCCTGGGGAAACATCTCTCTGCCTTCACGTTTCTATCACAGAGGACAGTACAAATTTACCCCCAGATCGCCCCGTAGTATGGGGTCTCGCTGCTCTCGGTCTGCCTACTAACCTTTGGCCTTCCTGACGTAGTTGCACCTTGTGGAACTAAGTTTCAGCCAGCGTAGCCCATGGGATCAGTAGCACACAAGTCCGACAACCATGTCAAAGTGGCAGCTTTAGGTCGGGTAGTGACCGAGCTATGGCCTACCGGGTTGTAAGCGGATACGACAAACACACAACAACCGACTTATAGTTTGCAATATCCCTTCGCACACTAGTTGCCAAATTAACCACAAAGAAGTAACTAGCAACGGGAATTCAGTCAATTGAGGCGCCTTCCGCCCAGTGAATTAGAAAGATGCCAACTTTTGCACGGCCTGTCACAACGGCCCCGGGATCGCCAGACATGTGCAGCCAGAAGTCAAAGGAGGGTGGTCTGATAGCTCCACGATTGTC